GTTGTATTTTGTCAAAGGCTTTTTTAGCATCAAATGAGATGATCACGTGTTTTTTGTTATCAGTTTGTTTATATGTTAGATTACATTGATAGATTTTTCTATGTTGAACTATCCCTGCATCTCTGGGATAAAGCTGAACTTGATCATGGTGGACAATTTTCTGATGTGTTCTTGGATGATGTGGGATTCCCTTCTATATGCTGTGAATACCCTTGGTTAATAAAGAAACTGTCTTGGGCCTGTGCAGGGAATAGAGGTAGGCAGAGAAAACTAAAATGAATGCTGGGAGAAAGAAAGGCAGAATCATAGAGAAGTCATGTAACCCCACTGGAGACAGATGCTGGAACTTTACCTGGTAAGCCACTGCATATAGCAATACACAGATCACTAGAAATGGGTGAAATTAAGATATAAGAGTTAGCCAATAAGAAGCTAGAGCTAATAGGCCAAGCAGTGATTTAACTAATACAGTTTCTGTGTGGTTATTTCAGGTCTGAGCTGCTGAGTGGCAGGAACAACCAAGCAGCCTTCCTTACAACACTTGGACTGGATTTGCCAGTATTATTTTATTGATTTTTATTGAGCTCTACATTTTCTCTGCCCATCTACCTGCCTCTCCCCTCCCCTTCAATCTTCCCCCAAGGTCCTCATGCTTCCAGTTTACTCAGTATATCTTGTCTTTTTCTATTTTCCGTTTAGATTAGATCAATTTGCCAGTATTTTATTGAATATTTTTGCATCAATGTTCATGAATGAGATTGGTTGGTAATTCTCTTTCTTAGTAATGTCTTTGCATGGTTTTATCAGGGTAATTGTGGCCTCATAAAAAGAGTTTGCCAATGTTCGTTCTGTTTCTATTGTGTGGAATAATTTGAGGAGTATTGGTATTAGTTCTTCTTTGAAAATCTTGTAGAATTCTGCGCTGATAACATCTGGTCCTGGACTTTTTACTTTTTTTTGGTTGGGAGACTTTTGATGACTGTTTATATTTCTTTAGCAGTTATATGTCTATTTAATTTACTTATCTGGTCTTGATTTAATTTTGGTGATATTTATCCAGAAAAGTGTCCATTTTTCTTTAAGTTTCCAATTTTGTGGAGTACAGGTTTTTGAAATTTGGCCTAATGATTCTCTGGATTTTCTTCATGTCTGTTGTCATGTCCCCCTTTTTGTTTTTGATTTTGTTAATTTGGATATTCTCTCTCTGCTTTTTGGTTAGTTGAATAAAGGTTTGTCTATTTTGTTGTTTTTCTTGAAGAACCAACTCTTTATCTCATTGATTCTTTGATATTTTTTTTTTTGTTTCTATTTTATTGAGTTCAGCTCTCCATTTGATTATTTTCTGTCCTCCTGGGTGAGTTTGCTTCTTTTTGTTCTAGAGTTTTCAAATGTTCTGTTAATTCACTAGTGTGGGATTTTTACAGCTTCTTTATGTAGACATTTAGTGCTATGTGCTTTTTTTATAACAGTACTTTCATTGTGTCCCATTAAGTTTGGGTATGTTGTGTGGTCTGAAAGACCCTTGAAGAGGACCGTCCCCAAGCCAAGGAACAGGCCGAGACCACACAGATGCAAATAGCAAGAGGTTTATTAGGTAAACACAGGTACCTGTGGGCGGCAAAGTCTTTCGGAGGACTTGCGAGCCTGCAGACTGGGAAGAGGTCTTTTTATAGGAAAGAGGGCAGCAAAAGCAAGTTTACAGAAGCAGAAGCATGGTTATTGGTTGGTTGGAATGAGGCGAGGGGCATGAATGGTTTTTCCTCTCCCAACATAGACATATGGCAACAGATATCCTGTTCTTATCTTATAGATATCTTGTTTTGCAGCCCTCTTATCTCACGGATATCCTGCTTTGCAGATGCCCTATCTTTATAGATATCCTGTTTTGCAGCCATCCTATCTCACAGATATCCTGTTTCCCTAAGCAAACGGGATGTTCTCATGAGAGCAGGCTAGTTGTTGGTCCTGAGAATCTTTCAAACAAACAGGACGTTCTCACGGGAGCATGCTAGCTGCAGGTTTTGAGGAGGGGGTCTGTAGGGTCTTTCATGGTCATTTTCATTGAATTATAGGAAGTCTTTAATTTCTTCTTTTATTTTTTCCTTGACCCATTGATGATTCTGTCGGAGCACATAGGTCCCAACATAGAAACTATTTTCCCCTAACTTGACTGGTACGGAGGTGCAAGAAAATAGCCAGACACAGTTTACACAGTCACCACAGAAGGGCATCTCAAGCTTCCTTCATCCTGAAGAACTACCCGTGTTTATTCTACAAAACACCTTTTAACCCCCCAGGTAAACCAAAGTGGATTCTCATTAATATTCTCCTTGCTGGGGGTTGCAGGGCTAGGGAAATACCTGCAACTTAATTCTCCAGCTTTGGAAAACATCTCTCCCCAGGCAATCTACCTTTTAACAAAGGAGAAGGAACAATCCATCCTGGCCTTTGTTAGGTGCCTGTCTTGCTTGTTTGGCAGGATTACAGCGGCCTAGTGGCCAGTGAGCCTGCCTGTAAATTATCAGGTGAGCATTGTTTAATTCCATGTGTTTGTGGACTTTCTGGAATTAGTTTTGCTGCTGACTTCTAATTTTAAGCCATGGTGATCCAATAAGATACACGGATTTATTTCAACTTTTGTAACTTTTGAGGTTTACATTGTTACCTATTATGTGGTCAGTTTTTGAGAAGGTTCCATGAAGTGCTGAGAAGAAGATATATTCTTTATGTATGGATGGAATGTTCTATATAGTCTGTTTAGTCCATTTGTGTCCTAGCATCTGTTAGTTCCCTTATTTCTCTGTTAATTTTCTGTCTGACAGACCTATTTAGTGGTGAGAGTGGGGTGTTGAAGTCTCCCACTATTAGTGTGTGGGGTTTAATGTGTGATTTAAGCTTTAGAAGCGTTTCTTTTACATATGAGGGTGCCCTTGTATTCGGGGCTGAGATGTTCAGTATTGAGATTTCCTCTTGATAGATTTTTCCTGTGACTAACATGAAATGTCCTTTGTCTCTTTTGATTGACTTTTAGTTTTAAGTCTATTTTGTTGATATTAGGATAGCTACACCAGATTTTTTTTTCTTAGGTCCATTTGATTGGAAAACTTTTTCACAACCTTTTACTTTGAGGTGATATCTGTCTTTGAGGTTGAGGTGTGTTTCTTATATGCAGCAGAGGATGGATTCTGTTTTTGTATCCAATCTGGTAGTTTGTGTCTTTTTATAGGTGAGCTGCATCCATTTATATTAAGGGATGTTAATGACCAGTGATTGCTACCTTCTGTTATTTTAGTTTTTATTGTTGGTAATGTTATTGTGTGTGCTTTTTCCCTTCTTTGGGATTTGCTGCTGTGAGATCATCTATTGTCTGTGTTTTGTGGATGTAGGCAACTTCCTTGGGTTGGAGTTTTCCTTCTAGTATTTTGTGTAGGGCTGAGTTTGTGGCTAGATATTGGTTAAATCTGGTTCTGTCATGGAATATCTTGTATCTATGGTGATTGAAAGTTTTTCTGGGTATAGTAGTCTGGGCTGGCATTTTCTATGTCTGCATAATGCTTGAGAAATCAGGTGTAATTCTGATAGGTCTGCCATCATGTGTTATGTAGTCTTTTTCTTTTGCAGCTCTCAATATTCTTTCTTTATTCTATATGTTTAGTGTTTTGATTAGTAAGTGGCAAGGGGATTTGGATTGAGTCTGTTTAGTATTCTATAAGCTTCTTATATCTTCATATGCATATCTTTTTCAAGATTATCCAGACACTTACTACAATGAAATCATATATATTTTACAAAGAAGTTATTCATGATAGAAGAAGAGGAATGCTAGCATTCTATAATAGATGGCTCAAATAAATTTTAAAGGAAAAAGTAGGAAACAGCCATGAGCAGAAGGCAATACTAACATCAAGAGACACAGTGGTGTAACGGAAGAAAACTAATATACATAGCTTAGCAGAATGTATGGTACTGGCAGAGATTCCTCAGCTTGCAACAGAGACTGAAACTCATATTCCCTCTCCTAACAGAATGAAATTGTTACTGAGCAATGGTTGTAAGCCCTAGAAATGTATTTCCTTGTTTTCAGGAGTGATTGAAATCGTACTGATGTCATCTAAGAAACAGAAGCAAACCTGTTACTTCCAAGCCAGGATTTTAAAAAGTAGATGTACCTTCATGGTGCGTCTTGATAACCATGTATGGGGAAAATAGGTTATAGCTGATAGCATTATCTAATCTAATACTGGAGAGGTTGAAAAGGAGCTGTTGGGTCTAAAGTATTGTAAAAAAGACATTCAGTTTTCTCATGGGAGGTGGAAGGTGGTGTGATCTAATTTTAAGAACAAGAGAGACACTATTAAGTCCTTGTATATAAAGAAGAGTCTACGTGAAGGACCTAGTATTCACAGGAGTAGAGAAACAAGCATAGAGGAGATTATTTTATTGATGTTTCAAGACCAAAATGATGCGAGACTAAACTGAGATACTGAGATGATGCTAGTAAACTCTGAAAGGAGTGAACAAGCATAAATATAATCAGAGCATCTATGAAAATGTCACAATGAAAATTTATCCTGTAAAATTAATACATACTGATAAAGAAAAAATAAGTGGTTGTTGGTGACTAAATAAATCTTGAGAGGGAAAGGAGACTTGTCACAGGGACATTCCTACCTTAAACAATTGTCCATGCCCAAATTCTGCAAACATTACAAAGGAGATTTGGTGTAGAGCTAGACTGACTGAATTTGTATTCTTGTAGATATCAAAGTGAGGACTTTTTTTTTTTTCCCTCCAGGGCTTTATTACAAAAGGAGTTGGTTGCTAGAGCGGGACCTCTCCAGTCTTTTTCTGCTTCTTCTTCCCTCCCAATATGTAACTCCAGGGAAGGTCAGTGGGCCACTCAAGGGTGTCTGGGAGAGTGAAATATGGTAGTATTTTCTCCAAAGTCCTCCAAATCCTCTGGCTGCTGTTGAGAATCTTCTCATAGCAGAGGTAGGGGCTTAGCTTTCATCTCCCAGATCCTCCATATCTACATCCTGGGGAACTTTCATCTTCTTTTGTCTTTTGGGCTGTGGCTCACTAGTCCTGGATGACTTGGGGGGGGGGGCGGTTTCCACTTCCATGGCTGCTTTTTCTTTCTGAGAAAGGCGGATTTGCTGCAGGAGTTTCCTGCGCTTCTTCCCGGACAGCGTGATGTTGGCACGTGCACTGGATGCCCGCTTCTTGAGGTGGTGCCTTGTGGTCAGCCCCGCGTCTATCACAGCCCCAACCACCTGGCGCTTCCGTTGCCGATCCCTGCTCAGCACCCTCCAGCACTTGAATAACTTCTTCTTCAGCTCCGTGCAGGGACAATTGATCTTTCCTCTGGGAGGTCCCATAGCGGCACACTGAGGCACACTCGTGGAGACAACTTTGTTTTTAAGAAGTTTTCTTTTCTTTTTTTGGAGTGAGGAATCGGCAGTTAACTCAGAAGTTGTGCCCACCACAATTTCTACAACAGATTATTCAGTATTCTAAAACATTACTGTGGGAAATGGTTGGGTATTGGAACTTGGAACACACTCTTTCTTAAAGACTTTGGATCCTTTACTTCTGTTAGAGAGGAGGTGTGAACAAGGAAGGGTGTGAACAGGGGAAAATCTTGTTTTTATGTGATCCAATGAAGAAAAGATCTACCATGACAAAGCTGTAAGCTTGAAGGGAACAAAAGAAGTGTGACAGAAGCAAACTACACCTTGTAACAGTGGAAGAGGCCGGCACAGAGTTGTGCTGACCACAATGTCTAGTTTATTGGGTCCAGACCTCTCCAGTCATATGCTTATCCTCTTTAGGTTGGGAAAGTTTTCTTCTACAATTTGTTGAATATATTTTCTGTGCTTTTGAGTTAGACTTCTTCTCTTTCTTTTAGCCCTATTGTTCTTAGGTTGGGTCTTTTCATGGTGCCCCATATTTCCTGGATATTTTATGTTTAGCTTTTGTTAGATTTAATGTTTTCTTTGACTGATGAGTCTATTTCCTCTATTGTATCTTCAGCACTGAGATTCTCTCTTCCATCTCTTGTATTCTGCTCTTTATGTTTCCATTTGTGGTTCTTGATCATTTTCTCATAATTTCCGTTTCTATAATTTCCTTGGTTTGTGTTTTTTATTGTCTGTATTTTATTTTTCAAGTTTTAAATAGTTTCTTTCATCTGTTTGATTGCTTTTTCTTGTTTTTCATTAAGAAATTTGTCAATTTCTTCTAATTTTTTTGTTTGTCTTTTCCTCCATTTCTTGGAGGAAATTTTTCATTTCTTCTTTAAGGCCTCAAACATTCTCCTAAAGTTATTTTTTAGATCATTTACTTCTGCTTCATCTATATTTGGTTTGTAGGATCACTAGTTTTTATTGGTGTTGTGCTGCTCTTTGTGGTGTTGAGTGTGTTTTTACCTTGTCTACCCATCTTTTACTCTGACTGGTGTACTTGGGGTTGTGTCTATGGTGATCAATCTTCCAGGTGCCAGTGGATCCAAGGCTCAGATGTTTGCTCCTCCTGGTACAGTCAGAGCCACAGTTCCAGTCACCCTGGAGGTTACTTGGTGTTCCTGGAGGTTGCTCAGCTCTTTCAGGGATCACTCTGCAATACTGGGAGTCATTCAGGCCTGCTTCCAGGGAGGTTTCTTGCTTGGGGCTGCTCCCATCGAGGTCACTGCCCTGTGCCTACTCTGGCAGAGTTAGCTGGTTCAGGTCTGCTCTTGTGGAGGTCTCTGGCTCAGGCCTGTTCTGGCAGAGGTCTCTGGCTTGGGCCTGCTCCCTCGGAGGTCCTGACTCATGTCTGGACCTGCAGAGGTCTATGGCTCAGGCCTGTTCCCTCAGTGGTCACTCCCTTGTACCTGCTCCTGTGGAAGTCACTACCTCAGCTTAGTTTTCTGTTGGACAAAAGCAGTTTTCAATAATATTTGGAAAAGAAGTTTTTAAAACATTTTACTTTGTCTACTTGCTTAGTTCAGATCCCTGAAATACTTTTGGTTAAGAAAGAATAAAACAATGTAAAATTCTTATTCAGAACATGTCTTAAAGACTTAATATTAGAACTTGGGGTGTGACTTGGGGGTGGGGAGTGCCCTTAACTTGTATGAGGATGTGGGCTCAAGCATCTCCCAACAAAAAAAAAAAGAGAGATAAATAATTGATGACATGAAACAATAATTCAAAGTTCATAAAGGCAGGCTCTAATTAATTCAGAAAAATCTGTCATAGAGGAGTAGAAGAGAAAAGCTGTGTTTCTTGGCAGCTCAGTTGTGTTGTTGGATGAGTTCAGAGACTGCATTGTTTTTGCAACCTGGAGTTATTTTTAAAAAGACTGATGCTGAGATCTGCAACTCGGGCCATCTCAACTGGATTGTACACATGGCATCTAGGTATTAGTTAAATTAAAGATATGTCCAAGTAATTGCAGTATGTAGTGACTGCAGACCATGACTTGAGTCACTGGGGCTATCTGTGATCTGGGCATGCTCCCTACTGGAGCTAGGTGCAGATGCACACTATTTTTGCAAGAAACTGGCAAGTTCTACAAGGAATTTCAGTGTCATGGGAGGTTAGTTGGGCTCTAATTGGCTCTAATTGGCTCTTCCAGCACTGAAACATCCTCTGCCTACAGCCGAGTGACACTCCAAAGGACAACGATGTGCTCCGACCTTTGAGAACATCAAAGGAGTCACTTCCAACATGGCTCTTCCAGCCCAGTGTCCTGCAACTCAGCAGGGCTGGGGCCAAGCCCAGTACAGCTGACAGAAAACAGCTTTTCTTTTTCAATCCCTCTTGCCCATCACATCAGCTGTACCAGCAGACTTGCAGAAAAATGTCTGGGTGGGACAAGGAAGAACGTGGACTTGTGTGTCACGCCTGCCCTTTGACTAGTCTCTCATCTGGTATCTTGGGAGGGGGAGGCCAAGTCTCTTCCTGACGGTAAAGTGGATCTCTGTACATATGTATTTTAGTGTGATTGAGTGACACAATACATGGAGTGGTTTCATAAATATTACATGCTAATCAGTCAGTCTGAGGCTATTAAGATGGCTTGTAAGGCATCTGAGGTTGTTTTACTCACACATGTGTTTACTGCTTTGATCTAATGGGAAACAGAACCAGTTCTTTGCTTAGATAATTCCAGTGTTCATTCTTCCCTGCCTTCTTCTTCCCCTACTGGTAGACAGTTCCTTGTGTACAGAATCTCTAGTTTCTCTAACACAGTACTTCATAGTGTAGGCATTAATGTATTTTCAAGTATTATTGAATACCTTGTAGGCATTACAATTTTTTTTCAGTATTATTTGCACAATGTGGCAAAGCAATGAGTTATTATGTTGACTCTTAAATGGCTAAGAATTCAGGTTAGACTTAAAGCAGACCTGCTTTGGAGATTACATTTATGAACTGCGTGCATTAACTACATATGGGATACTGCAAACCCTCTCGGTGTGATAACTGTATATTGCTCATAAAACCTTCAAGTCAGCGAGTTGCAGTCACCTGTCCCTGTTGTATCTTAGAGCAGAGGTTTGCAAGAGTCTTTCTTCATCAAGTGGATTGGGAGAAATTGACTCTTCTTTGAGGGCTTGGCAAAGCTTGATTAGAACTTGGATATCTCCTGGAAGTATAGAATCCTCTGGAGTAGTAGGACAGGAAGGTTTTTTATTCACATGGTCAGGTGGCTTAGAGTGGCCAGTAGGTCAGTAGTGTATATCTCAGGTTTCAAAAGGAGAACTTCATGCTTGTCTTAGCTTCAAGGTTCTGGGCAGAAGCTATGAGTGGATACAGATGGGGACAGAGCAGGCAAGGAGATAAACATTACCGGAGATGGAGGTTTGCTTTTGCTAGGAGTAGCCTAGGACACCCAAATCTTTACGTATAAGATGGCATCACAAAGACTGCTTCAAGGTCGGATGAACTTTCTTCGAATCCCATCTTCACTTCATGTTGAAGGAGCTGCGGGGCTGTGTCCTGCCACCCGGCTAACTTTACCCAAAATAATTACATGGAAACTGTATTCTTTTAAACACTGCTTGGCCCATTTGCTCTAGCCTCTTACTGGCTAATTCTCACATCTTGATTAACCCATTTCTAATAATCTGTGTAGCACCTCTGGAAAGGATCTTAACCTGCTTCTGTCTCAAATCTGAGAATCATGGCAACTGCCTGAATCTGCTTCTTTCTCCCAGCATTCTGTTCTGTCTACTCCGCCTACCTAATTTTCTATCCTATAAAGGGCCAAGGCAGTTTCTTTATTAACCAATGAAAGTAACACATAGAAGACCCTCCTCCATCAACTTCATGTTCATTGCTATTTCTTGGGGCAAAGGTTTACCTCCCAAAACTCCTCTGCATAGTATGCTTTTTGCTGTAACTAAGACTCAAACTAATTTGCATAAACCCCCTCACCTCAAAGAAGAGGGTGCTGCCATGTATGATCAGGCTCAGGACTAGAAGGCAAGAGCCACTTTTTGGGATCTGTCTTTCCTTATGTTTGCAAGTTGCTCACAGTCATAAGTTGGTGGCAATCACAACCAGTGGGGAAAGGGAGTGGCATTTTAGACATCCTGAGCAGCTCCTCTCTCAAGCGTGGTCACCTAAGCTGACTAAAGTCAGTCACATTATTGCTACTGTAAGAGAGTACCATGACCTGCATGACTTAGAACCAGAACAATTTATTGACTCACAGCTGTGGAGAACAAAGTCTACTATCAAGGAGCTGCTGGCCCATGGTCCTTCCACATGTTTTCTGTTCTGAGCTTCTGTACTAGACGCTGGTGTATCATTCCTAAGGTGGGTGACAAACTTCTCATCTTCAGGTGATATTTGTCCTGTGAGGCACCATGTCCAAACTCTCCCTTTTTAAGGGACACCGAATCATAGTGGATTAGAGATTAGATTGTATCTTCATTACCAAATCTTAACTTGGTTGCTTCTGAAAGGACTCTTCCACAAGTAAAGTCTCATTCTAAGACCCTGGGGCGGCGTTAGGGCTCTAGGGTAGCATCTATTTTGGTGGGTGGAGAGAACACCGCTTCAATTACAACCTCAGCCTATCCTTGGATTGAGGTCTCATTGGCTTAAGTCATTTGGGGGACATTGCTCTGGAGCTGTCCATGGTTCTACTCAGTGGTATTTAGAGGACCCTGGGAGAGGAATGGGGAGCCCATCAATATCAGAGAAGGCTCCAGATCTCAGAGTCTACATGTTAGCTGCATTGCTCAGAACAAGGGCCTTAGATCCTTTAGGCTCCAGCCTGCACAGCTGTACACTGATGCTGCTACTGTTTGCTTGGGAGACTGGCTGCTTAATAAATGAGATGCAGGTTTGAGTGTCAGCAGGGTGCCCGACCTCAAGTATGTGCC